AGTAGTAGATGGTTAATTTGGCAATATTTATCAAAATTCAGAATGCGTGTAACCTTTGAATTTACCATTCCAATACTGGATTATTATTTTGAAGATAAAATGGCACATGTGTACGGGCTGCCATGTTCCTTGCAGGTTCATTTGCACAGTAATTGGCTGGACCAAATGTCCATCATTTGATGAATGGACAGACAAATATGGTTTGTCCACACAGTGAAATATTAATAGTAATCAACCACAAGGAGGAATGAAGTACTGGTACATGCTACAATATGGATGACCCTTAAAAATATTATGCTAAGGGAAAGAAACCGGCCACAAAAGACCACATATTATCTGATTCCATTTATATAAAGTTTCCAGAATAGGCAAATAAATAAATATAGAAAATAGATTAATGATTGCTTGAAGCTAGGAAGGGAGTAGGAGAGAGAGAGTGCGAATTGACTACTAATGAGTACGGGGTAACTTTGGGGGGACAAAAATGTTCTAAAATTATATCGTGGCTATGTTTGTACCATCTTCTGAATATACTAAAAGACATTGAATTGTATGCTTCAAACCGATGAATTATATGGTACATAATTTATATCTCAATAAAGCTGTGTCTTTAAAAAATAGTGAATGCTTGGAAAAAACATAAATGCTTTAAAATATGAGTCCTTTAAATAATATATCTATGTGTCCTGATGTGACATATTCACAATAAGATACATTATTAATTGAAAAAAGTAAGAAAAAATATTTGTAACCCCGTTAAACTGACAAAGATGTAATATTTCAAATATATTTTTAAAATATGTATATATGCATAATTCTGAGCATTCTCATTCTCTATACTAGGAAAAAATATAGGAAACATCCAGATCCTAGCTTATGGAGCATATACAACTGTTATGTAGCTATTAAAATGGTAGTCATAAAGACTAGACTACGTCAAACTCTGAAAAATGTTTATTATATTAACTTAAATCAATATAGAAGCATATAAAATAATGTATACACTAAATATGGAGCTATGTAAATATTTGAGAGTCAGTATGGTTATGACTGTGATACAGCCAAACTACCTAGTTTAAACACTACCTGTTCACTTAGTAGCTTTGTGACCTATGGTAAATAACTCAGCCTTGCTGTGCCTTAGTTTTCCTATCTATAAAATGGTAATAATCATAGAGCCTCACTCACAGGATGTTGTGATGATGAAAAGAGTTAATACATGGAAAATGTTTGACTATGCCTCCTGTCACTTTTATGTAAAATACTGGCAATATAGTAAGCAAAACAAAAATGTTTGTCTTAAGGTGGTAGGATTATAGTTGATACAGTATTATTATCTTAGCATTTCTCCAAATCTGTTCTGTTGTTCTTTCAGGCAAGGAAAAAAAAAAAATACAGCTCTTGGAAAAATTAAACTGGTATCAATTATGTTTAAATTTGGGTTATTCTTTCTATGAAACCTGAGTAACTCATAACTGTCTGTTTCTTTTTTTTTGTAAAATAATGTCAGATCAAAATAGCAAAGAATTAGAAGAGAATGTCATGCTTTGCTTTTTAACACAATAGGCAGAAATTGAGTTATTCTTGACCATTGCCTTCTTAAGGAAAGATACTACAAGATGCATGAGGTGGCTTTTCAAACAAAATATCTAAGAGCATC